GCGCCTCCTCTGAGTCTGGATATGATATTCTCTTTACTCCTAGTTGTAGAATTTCCACTCAGCCAGCCCTCCTGTGGTTCTGGATGTTGTCCGTTCCCTTTTTCAGGCTTAATTTGAATTGGTTGTTTAAGGCAGCAATCTCCGGCGTTAACCTATGCCGCCATCTTCGGTTCTCGAGTGATCTCCTGATGTTTCTTTATGATTAGGTTCAGGGTATGCCCTCCTGGTCAGAATACTATATAAGTGAAGTTGTGTTCTTCTCAGGGTGTCACATTCAGTCCCCTTTGTCTGCCTGCCTCTCATTGGTGACGTTGATTTTAACCACTCAGTCAAAATGTTGTTCAGTTTATGCACTGGATAGTTATTTTTCCTCTTACAAGCACTTTTTGGGGAGACTCTTTAAAATACTGCTCATCAAAACGTCCATAGTAAATTTAGTAGCCATTATTGGTTCTTGCTCAAGTCAGTCTTTACTGTGGTAGCTACAAATTGGTCATTGCCCAACTCTGGCACTCCTTCTACATACAGCTTTTTGCCTGTTTATTGATCTTTACACACACTTAGTATGAAATTAGTATGTATTTTCTCCAATGATTTATAATGCGTTTTTCCCTTTTATTTATGTTGTTCCAAATTTGACTCTTGGGAGTCCCTTTGGCTACCTCTTGTGCCCTTTTGACATATTCCCATCATTATTTTTAGTATCTCGTTGTTTGTCCCAACAAATTATTCCAGGCTCATCTTGATAATACCTTCCCTACTGTAGCCCTGAAATTAACTATCTGACAAAGGACCTCTGGTTCCTTTTGGTGGGCTCTGGGTGCTAGGTATCCTTATTGCTGCCAGGGTGTCTTCTTAGCCCTTTCAGTAACAGAGCTAGAAAATGTAAACCCACACATACTCACTTATGATCATACGCCCACACCAATGCCTCCAGTTCCATGCCCCCAAGCTCCTCCTGGCTTTTTCTACTCTGTGTTTCTGTGTTTTATCTTCTACATTTAGAAACCTGGCTCCTAACATAAAACATTTGTTAATTTAACTTAATCCTACAATACATGTAAAATAATTTGAAGAATGTTGTGTCTCTGCTTCCTTCTTCACAAGAAAACAACCTGTTCAGGATTGTTTCCAGTCCTTTATCTTCCCTGCCCCTGCCCCTGCACAAGGGTGTGTGCTCAATTACTGTGTTCAGAAGTTACTTAGATTAGTTATTTTATCCTCTCTTTCAAGTGAGTTTATTTTATTCATTTCAAATACAATTGAGTTCATTGTTTCAGTATGCTTTTAGTGTTAAGTTTTCCTCCTCATCCTTGTTGATTTAACTTTAATTCGATACGTGGGATATTAACATATTTCAAAAAGTATATTCCCCATCTCTTTCTCCCCACTCAGTCAGTTGCCAGTTTCATTATCTTCTGTATTGTCCTTCCTGTACACATGAGCAGATGTGTGTATGTGTTATAATTCCCTTTACTAAACAAAAGATAGCATACCTTTTTTTGTTTATATATTTTTTGCTCTTTGCTTTTTTCCTTAAAATATTCTGGAAATACATGTATTTATATATATCTTTCTCATTTTTTATAGCTGTATAATATTCCATTTTGTATATGTACCAGAGTTTATTCAACTCACCTCTTGTGTTTGAATGTTTTGTTTTCCAACATTTTGAATGATAAATAATGCAGCCATGCATAACCATGCCATATGTATGTTTGTGCTTTCGGGGGATGTACCTTCAGGGTATATTCCTGGAAGTAGGATTATTGGATTGAAGATACTGCCTATTTCCCCTGCACGGGGATTGTTTGCCTTCCTGCCCACAATTTATAGGAGGCCTGTTTCCCACAGCCTCCTCAATGGAGTGTGTTATCAAGCTTTTAAAAGTTTGCCTTTCAGCCCTAGCCGGTTTGGCTCAGTGCAGAGCGTCGGCCTGTGGACCAAAGGGTCCCGGGTTTGATTCCAGTCAAGGGCACGTACCCTGGTTGCAGGCTCTTCGCCAGCCCGTGCAGGAGGCAACCAATCGATGTGTTTCTCTCACATTGATGTTTCTCTCTGTCTTTCCCTCTCTCTTCCACTCTCTCTAAAATCAGTGGGAAAATGTCCTCGGGTGAGAATTAACTAAAAAAACTAAAATAAAATTTTGCCTTCCATGTGAGTGAGAAATGGAATCTTAGTTTAGTTTTAATTTATATTTCTCTTATGAGTAAAGTAAACATCTTTTTATAAAAGAGCCATTTTATCTTTTTTTGGTGAATTTTCTTTCAGGTAGTTTACCTGTTTATAGTGTTTTTAAGTAACTTTATTGATACACATTTTATATACCAGAAAGTTCACCTATTTAAAGTATATCATTAATTCAATAATTTTTCGCATATTTGCAGAGTCTTTATTTACCATCTCCCTGACAATCGTAAGTTCTTTGTATATTAGGGATATTAGTACTTAATCTGTGATTTCTGTTACAAATATTTTCTCCCCATTTACTTCATTTATGGCAATTTTTGCTATTCAGTCTGTTTGTTTTTAATTTTGTTTATCAACCTTTTTTTAAAAAGTCATAATTAGAAAGCCTTTTCCTAACTACACTTAGGTTATAGAAATATTCACCTATGTATTGTTTTATTTATTAAATTCAGTTCTTTGCTTAGTTTGGAATTTAGTCTTTTGTATTAGTTGAGAAATGGATCACATTTGATCTTTTTCCCAATGGCAGTCTTGTTGTCCCAACACCATTTATATAAAAGTCTATCTTTTTTGTTTGTTTGTTTGTTAGTCTTCACTGAAGGATATTTTTTTCCATTGATTTTAAAGAGAGTGGAAGGAGGGGAGGGGGGAGAGAGGAGAGAGAGAAGCATCAATGTGAGAGAGCCACATCAATTGGTTGCCCCCCACATGTGCCCCAACCATGGTGGGGAATCTGCAACCCAGGTACATGCTCTTGACCAGGAATTGAACCAGAGACCCTTCAGCGAGAGCCGACGGTCCAACCACTGAGTCACACTGACCAGGGCTAAAAGTCTATCCTTACTGCAAAGATTTGAGATACTGATTTTATCATGTTAACTTCTGTTTAGTTCCATTTATCTGTTCATCTGTGCACCGGTGCCACACTATTTTACTTAAAAGACTTTGTGCTGTGTGTTATTATCTGATCGGGTCACTTCTTCTTCATAGCCTGTCCTTCTCAGTGTGTTCCTAGATCTTGTATATTTATTTTCCCACAAATACCAACACTTTTAACTACATAAAAATCTTGTCATTTTTATTGGGAGTGTATCAGCTTCATATATTGGGGGCTGCTGAGATTTTGATGGTGTTGAGACATCTTAAGAACAAGGGCTGTCTTTGTATTTGTGTCTCAGGATTTTTTAGTAGTTTTCTGCATATAGATTTTAAACATATCTTGAGTTTATGCTTAAGTATTTCATCTTCTTTCTTGACTTTGTAAATGGGGTTTTCTTGTTTAAGCATTTGTTTTTATTGAGTTTTGAGTGGAAATTATACTCCCCCTCTCCTATTCCTGCCCCAGATAATCTTTTCTCCCTTGTTTTTCTTGTTCTTACAGTCCCCTTTTGTGTAATTAAGGTGGTTTTAAAAGGGAAGGTGATTATACTTCACATGCCTCTAGGGTGGTGCATGGAACCAGGTTTGAATATGTTGGGGATCAAGTCTTGGGGCAAATCCAAATGATGGTTGAATTTATGATTTTGTTTAATGATCTGTATCACTCACTATGCATGTAGCTAGTTCACTGGTACTTGGGGAAAAGTAAATGTGACCACTCATCTCATGTAGTTCTGCTGCCAGGCTAGACTGTGCCTAATCTTATGTGGATGTGAAGATAAGACATAAATGAATCATGGGAGTACTAGTTTGGCTTAGGTGTGGGCGCTGGGTTCTAATTCTTATTAATTGCTGGTGACTGAGAACCTCTGGTCTAGTACAGCCTATCAATAGGAATGAGAAAAAAATACTTAACAGTAATCCACTGAGCTACACTCATTGGAGAATTATAAAATTTAGTGTTGATGTTCATTTAATGCAGTATTCAGAAGTTAGTATCATATTTTAATGATATTTTTACATGGATTGTCAAAAGGTGATAAAAATGAAAAAAAAGGACTTTTGGGGGATCTGAGACTTTGCAGGATAGAAAAGAAATGCATACTTATAAAAAATGTGATTTGTTTCCTTTGAGCATTAAAAATGCATTATTAAAGAATTAAATCTTTCTAATTTATTTGATCTTTTATCTTTTATAAATATGTACCTTTAAAATGCTGATTAACTACACTTGATTTTTAAAAAATCTTTTAAGATTATTTCAAATACTGAATTAATGATTTTATGTTTTTCAACTTAATGAAGTTAATCAACCCTTTATGGTGCTTTTGGTTAGTGTTTTATCTTCCCTTATCTATAATTCAGTGAGAAGTGTAATTTTTAAAAGAATTGCATTCAGACAAAGGTATTTATGCAAGTTTTAGACAGATGCTTAGTCATAGCCATCGAATACAGTGAACAATATGAATTACAAAGAATGTGTATCATTTTTAAATTGTAAATGCATGGCTGTATCTGCCAGCAAATCAATTTTTACAGTCCATACATATTTCTTAAATATTAGTTGTTGAGTGAATAAAAATATTAAGATTAAAAATTGCAAATTCAAAATGGGAACAAAGTATTTTATTGCTCTGTAAGGTATTTTCTGCTTAATGTATATCATCCTGAATTATTATATTTCTTGGTATTTCTGTGTTAACTTTGATTTACTTCACACACCCTGCTTATATTTGCATAACTATCTCTGCAAGAGAGTTGAGTGCTTACTCCTACACTACCTTCTTCGCCATAGCCATGATTGTACTCAGCATTTGCTGGATTGAACTGCCATTCTGCCATATTTTAAAAACATGTCTTGTTCTTTGAAAATGCCTTGAGTTATTTAATTGTGGTCATCATAGCCTTGCTATTTGCTGCCTTTCAATCTGCAGTCTTATATACAGAGCATGACCTTCCTGAAAGTCTGTGTACTGAGTGGTGTGCCAGTGACGAGGGAGGGAGTGATTAACTGTCAGGCGAGGTTTCTCAGGGGAGCTGACACTTGAACTGAGCTGTAAAGATGAGGACCAGGCAGAGAAGGGAAGTGAAGATGAGCCAGGCACAGCCTGCAGTGTGGAAAGAGGCCTGCAGCCAGGTTAGGCACATATGGGAACACCTAGATGCCAGTTGTGTACTGCACAACTCTCCGGCACTTCGCATTACGTGATGGAAGAATTCAGTGACTTCAGGCTATGTTCACCTCGGAGGGATTTGGGGCTTTTGTTCCTTTCTCTCCGAGCTTGTGGTTGTCATCTCACAGTAGTTAGAATCCCGGGCAGTCTCTGTCCCTGAGCACGTGAGAACTCCGGCCTTGGCTTGCCCTGCCTCTGTTGTCCTTGCTGAGGAAAGCTCCCGCTGCTGCCCTAGTGATTACCATTACTTCCTCCTCCTCCAGATTGTGAGACCATAGTTCTGTTTATTTCACTGAAAATATTTGTTGAGGAAATGCTTTTGTGAGACTTTGTTTATTTTAAAATATGTTTTTATTGATTTTAGAGAGAGAGGAAGAGGGGGAGAGCGGGAAACATTTATGTGAGAGAGAAACATCGATCGGTTGCCTCCCATACACACCCTGACTGCAGACTCAGCTGGCAACCTGGGCATGTGCCCGACCAGGAATGGAACCGGCGACCTTTCAGTGCATGGGGCAGTGCTCAACCAACTGAGCAACACTGGCCAGGGCGCTTTTTATGAGACTTTAAATGGAGGTTGTCAATATTAAATGATTGAAGAAGTTATTTAGAATTAATTACATATTTATATTTGTCTTTTTATTTTCTTCCTCTAGTGTTCTTTTGAAGATGACCACATCCGTTCCTTATTAAAACCTTTAGAACTGGAATTGCAAAAGACAGTGCATACATACTGCGGGAAAATTTACAAAATATTTATCAAACGGCTAACCAAAAGCATCCAGGACCGCTATGATAGACCACCCAAGGAAAGGTGATTCTTGGAGACTACTAAATCAAATGAATGAAACCAACAAAATGTTAGAGGAAACGTGAAGGAATAGTCTTGGATGAAGTGTTCAGGAAAGAATTATTCATCTTCAGAATAATTTCTTTTTCCTGAGGAAGTTAAATGAGCAATATATTCATTTAATGAAGAATAAGTTAAAGTCTTGACTCCAATAAGAAGACATTTTTCATCTCTGACGTTTTATAATGTTATTTGCTGTCATTCCAGTATTGATGAAAATATTGAATTGTTTGTGGCCTATAGACTGGTTGGCTGTTAAGCTCAAGTGAGTAAGAACAGTAGAAGGGGTAGGGTGTATGAATGGAGAAGATGTGCCTCATACACAGTAGGTTGCAAACTGAGTATAGCAATAATTTTGTCAGCACTAACCTCACTTTAAATACGTGAGAAAAACGTTTACAGGAGCAGAAAAGATTCTGTTTCTAAAGAAATGTGATGTAACCATTGACAATCCATGTGTGCCTTCATAGATTTCATCTCTGTTTTAAAATCTTTCTGTGACAATCATGTTTAAAATTATTTTTAGATTACAAGTAAACTGCACGTTTAAGATGGCGCTGTGTAAGAAAGAGGGAAAACAGTGAAAATTCTGTTTTAGTCTGTGTGTATGCTTGTGAAATATAGTATTTTCATGTGTATATTTTTAACTGTCTTGCCAAACTCAGATCTAAGATCGTTAAATATTTTGAGAATTTTTTTTTTATCATTTTAAATGAAGAATTTCAGCTTTACTGGGCATTCTGGAAGCAGAAAAAGAAATGAAAACCTAAATAGTATACCTATGTGATGGACCAAAATGCATTAAGCTCTGTATTTCTGTGAACAGTAATTTTAGTTACAACAGCGCAGGAGAAAGTGGTCATTTAACTTTTTTTCTTCTACCTCAAAATATATTTGCAAGATATATTTGAAGAAGCAAATATATAGAGCCTTAATTTAAACAACTGTCATGGATGATTGGGATTAAGAAAACCAGTACCTCTGAATACAGGAAAGTAGTTTGGGTCAATGTGAATAGCTTCCCTTGTTGAACATCACTTAAGACAAACTTAAGACAGTTATTTTTTTTTTTAATGTTGAAAATAGACTTCTCAGTGTTGTTGACCTCTGTCTGAGTTTGGAGGGTACATAGAAGGTTGTTGTTAACGGTCCCCAAATAAGACCATTGCCTGCCTGGCTGCATTAGACTCTTGGGGAGAGCTTGTTGAGAATGGATGCTGGGGCTTACCCTTTCTGGCCCACTGTGTCTAGGATTGGGGTCTGCAAACATTTTTTTTTTTAATGAAGAGATTTGAAAATTACACAGAAGTAGAGAGAATACAGTGGTGCTGTTTGTCCGGATCAAGCACTTAACAATATCTTGCCATATTTGCATCATTTATCCTTTTTCTTTTTTTCTCAAGTATCTTAAAGAAAATCCCAGACAACATGTTATTTCACCACCGTGAACAGTTCAGTAACTACAATGACATAATACTTCCTCCATATTAAATGCATCTTAAGTCCTTAAGCAGATTCCTGATTGTTTCCAATGTTAGAATCAGGGCGCAAAAATAAGTCACATTATGATTCTATTTTTAATAAACACCTCAGGTGATTTTGATGTCAGCTAGTTTGGGAACCACTGGAAATCATTTTGCCAACTTGAAGGTTGAAATTAGGATATCATAATTCTTAGCATAGTTGGTGGATTACAATTGTGATTCTGAAATATTAGAGGAAGTACTTGGGTTATTGACAGTGTATGAATTTATATTCTAAGCAAGTTCCTTAGGTTTAATTTTCTCAGAGAACAGAATCTCAGCCCCATGGGCTCTGATATGATTAGGACCATGTAGAGTGTGGTCATAGTTGAATCTAGCTGCGCTGTATACTCTGGTCTCACACATTTGGCTTATTTACATTGCCACACATTCTACATTGTCCATCAGTTGGAAGATTCCTCACCTGGTTTATTCAGATCTGGCCTAATTGGGCCTTTTACCATAAATTGGTTTATGGTGAAAACTTTCCACTTACAGACTATTTTACCTAAAACTTGGAATATCACAGAAAGTCCATAAAAATATTAAAATGAGTTTTCTGAGTTTATCTTTAGGTAAGGTAACTTTTTCCTTGAGAATTCTCAAGAAATGCAGCTCTTAGCATTAATGAGGTTAAATTATAGGACAACTTAGAGAATATTACATTTCTTTTTATAAAATAGTATACCTATGCAGTTTATATAAATTACATTGTATATTTTTTGAGTCCATATGTTAGAACGATTCTGACCTCAGAACTATCTCTGGGCTACAGTATTACCAAAGTGGATTGACTAAAATATAGTCGCACTTCATTTGTATGAAGTAGTTATCTTAAAAGAATATGGAAAACTTTTAGAAATATATATTGTGATACATTTTAAGAAAATACAGCCCTGGCTGGTTTGGCTCAGTGGATAGAGCGTCGGCCTGCAGATGGAAAGGTCCCAGGTTCGATTCCAGTCAAGGGCATATGCCTGGTTTGCAGGCTTAATTCCCAGTAGGGGGCGTGCGGGAGTGATTCTCTCATGGATGTTTCTAGCCCTCTCCCTTCCTATCTGAAATCAATAAAAATCTTGACCGGAATCGAACCTGGGACCCTTCAGTCCGCAGGCCGACGCTCTATCCACTGAGCCAAACCGGTTTCGGCGCCTGAAGTAATATTACTGCTTACTGCTGCTCTCTCATCTTACCTCCAGTCAGATGTTAGTGGTGTAATGGGAAGAAAATCAGACTGTGAACTAGGTCTGTATTCTCTTCCTGGTTAAGGGACTCCAGGTTAATTGTTTAACCTTCTCTGTGCCTTGGGTTTGCCAGTAATGAATATGTCCTTCCAACCTCATGAGACCCAGCAGTCATGAGTTAGGAAGTTTTGAGACTCAAGAGAGAATGGATTTGAAAACGTTCTGCATGGCCTCTGTCATGCACGTCCATCAGCGTTGCTGTGGAAGGTCTGCTTTGCCCTGTCGTCCCCTTCGGCTGAATGTTTTCTGACATGCATGGTATCTCCAGTGTTAATTTGCTTATATGAGGTAAGGAAGAGTTTTTAAGGAAGAAAAAGCAGAGAAAAGAATGATAAAAGTGAATGATCAAAAAAAGAAGGAAAAGAGAGGAAGTGAGAAAAGGGAGGAAAGATGGGAATGAGAGTGAGAATGGCAAAAGGCAGAGTAAGAAAAGATGGAATGAGAGTGGGAGAATCGAGGTGGAGTGATGGAGAGAGATGGTGTGGAAACAGTCACTGGCGGAGTTGTAGCCCCCACCCTGTGCTGCTGCCCGCCACCTTCCTCCAGTGCAGTGCTTGGCCCTCAGGGTCGGGTGCTGGCTTCATGGAGGAGGCAGCATGGCTCCCTTGTTTGATTTGTTGATGCTAGAGTTGTTTCCCAGCCACTCTACTCACTTACTTAGAGCTAATGATTGAACAGGTTATTCATTATTATTTTCTGGACCCCAGTTTATGAGGTAGGGCCTGTGGAAACACTGACAAGCTTCTTCCCTTAGCATTGTCCTTTTAGTCGTCCTGAATGTTGGCTTAGGCAAGACCGCCACACAGAGTCACCGGAGAGGCGAGGGTGGAGGGATGGTTTCATACGGTGTGAAGGGGCCCAGGAACTTTCTGCATCATTTTTCCAAGATGATGCTGCTAGGAAGCCAGGTTTGGGAATCACGGCCCTCCCTTGAGTGGCAGCTTAAACAGTCAACATCTGTTGACTCCTCAATAGCATATTTTCAGTTGAACTGGTATGAATGGATTCAAGAGAACGGGAGATAGCAGAAATACATGAAAGGGAAAGACCTTAGGAGAGAGTACTCACTGTCTTTTTCTGCAGTCTATATTGTAAGTAATACAGTGGTGCTGATCGTCCTTAGTCGTAGTCAGAACCTCTTTGAGGTGTTTAGAATGACCATTGATCTGTTTTTTTAAAAATAGCTTTTTTGGTTCCTTAGAGTAAATTAAGAAAAGCAGGGGAGCTATATGTTAAGTGTGGGGTCAGTTATCCATTTATTAAATGTAATTTCAAGTGTCTTAAAACAACCGCCTTTTAATATTTAATAAAAGTAGATTAAAGAATGATTTGTATGTAACAATTATCTCCTTATACATTGCCAAAGCAACTCTTTCTTGCCTATTAAATTCTGGCTGAACTGTTCTGATGTTTATTGTTTCTTAATTCATTGAACATGAAACTAGATTTTTTAAAACTAAGTTGTAATGTTACATAAACTTAAGACAATTCTAAAAGGTGGTACAAGAATGTTCTTTTGTAAAACTGAAAAGGAATATGATGTTAAATCAACTATCTAGCAATAGAATCATGAGGAGAACATGAAATAGCATATTGGACTAGGCAATTTGAAGTTGATTATAAATCAATGTCACACTCATTTTTAAATGGAAAATATGTATTGTCACCTCATCTATCAACAATTCCAAGTGTCTAATGGGATTTATTTCTTTAGAATTATCTGTAGTCTCAGTTTTAAAACAGAGCCATTGAAAATATATGAAGAAAAATGAAAAATTCTCTCACTACTAATACTGTGAGTGTTATTTGGAGGATCTGTGGTCAGACATTTTGATATCAAACTTAACTGCTGTGGAGCCATTGATTATGTTTAGTATATGTACAGTCTGAATATGTGAGCATATTCACGCACACAACACCATAGCAACTGCGTGTAAAAATTGAACACAGTGCAACCGTGTATGTTGCGTAAAAAGTAAATTGACTTTGATTATGATGGAAAATAGCTATTTTCAACTTTTGTATAAAATCTCTTCAGGGAATATTGGAATGTTGTGCTAAAATAATTCAGGGCTTGTAGTATAGCTGTAGAATACAACATTTATTCAAAATTTAGCAGAACACACATGCTTCGTATTCGTTGAGAGCTGGACCAATAGTTTTTGATGGGTGCTATAACAGAAGATCTATGAAGGAGATGGTTTGCACCTGTTCCCGAAATCAAACACTGGGAAAGATTGCAGATGTTTCCATTTTTTACAAGCATTTTGCATAAATGTTTTAATTATTTGAGTAGAATGTTTGTAAAGCTGCAGAAGGCCTCTGGTGTACTGTGATATGTAGAGATTACCACCCTTAAACTGCTTTTTACCTTAAAATATTGTGGTTTTAGAATAATTTGGATGTCTTCCTCCAAGTATTTTATGTATCTTGACATTTATTAAAGGGGAATATATAAAATTATAGATGCCACTATTACCTGAGAATAATGGAAAGTTGCTTCGTTTTGTTTTGGGTGAGTTCAACTCATCTTTTTGTTGAGAAACTGTGTTGCTGTTACTAAAAAAACCCATCTCAATAAATGTTTAATTTCTCCAAATGATGTGTCTGAGTTATTCTAGAAATCATAAGCAGCTTTGGAATGTTTAGGGTTAGGATGCTTGATAACTAGGAGTCCAGTAGCTGTATCCTAAGGGATAGATTTTCCTCAAGTGCTTCGTACTGTAGAATAACTTATAAAGGCCATGAATTCCTTATGGTTAACCTCAAAATGAAATGATAGAAAGAGAGTTGGGCCTAAGAAACAAGTTGAAGATCAGAAGGATGCCATTAAAAAGCTGATAAATTAGGACCAGAAAAGATAATTGAAAATTGTTGACATAGAAAGGTTTGGCACAGTAAGTCAGGTGCCACTCACCAGGGGCAGAATAATCCCAACATATTTCTAAACGCTTAACCATGAAGCTGGATGAAGAATTTCCCAGTCAGGCCTAGCTTCCCTTGAAAGAATTAGCTTGCAGAACTCTCTCATGTTAATCCTGCAGTTCCTCAGCAAAGTGTATAAGGAAAAGGGAAAATAAAGAAATGGGGGAAAGACATATTAGAATAAAAACACACCAAAAGAAAATGTCCTATTGGAAAAAGTAAAATCAAGATCCAAAGTTTAAAATGGGACAAAGTCATATTTTTATTTTGTTATTTTTATTTTTTGTCTTCATATTCCTTGGCAATAGGGGAAACTGTCACCTCCCACCTTTTATTGTTTTGAATTTAATGGGGAAGGGTGAATGGTGTCTTGTCTTTTTTCTAAAGGGTAGGAATTTGCCACATGTTTACTGGTCCTGTGCTGTTTTACTAGGAACTCCTGATTCAGTAACGATAGATCCATTTTCTTGGGCTGATTAGGCTTCTCAGAAAGGAACTCTCATTTATGTAGTTAGAGCCTGATTTACCTGGTAAGTAGGGGAAGAGGACTGTTGCCTTTGACTTATCCTTCCCCCGTTTTTTTTTTTTTTTTTTTTTTTTTTGGTTATGTGCCTCTCACCATCAGTTGAGCCTGATGTACCCAAATTCAGAGTCTTAGAATTTTTTTGTTCCAACTCTGTAGCCAGTTAACCTGCAGGCTTCTGCCATTGGGTAAGAAACAAGGACTTGAAGGTGGAGATGGTGGTGGGGTGGTGGTGAGGTCTAACAGCTTTAGCTAATTGGAACTTGTGGTGTCTACAAGTTCTCCTACTTTGCAC